AATCGAATCTAAACACTATTCTCGTGATAGATGATCTTAGGTTCGTTTTGCAAGAGGATTGTCCTCAAGCTCCTGCGCCTAACGCCACTGTGGCGGTGCGCAACGACTATGACAGGTGGATCAAGGCTAATGACAAGGCCAATGTCTACATCCTGGCGAGCATATCTGATGTGCTTGCCAAGAAGCACGAGGACACGGTCACCGCTAAGGAGATCATGGACTCGCTGCAGAGCATGTTTGGACAACCGTCCTCACAGGCTCGACATGAAGCCCTTAAGTTCGTTTACAACTCTCGCATGAAGGAGGGTTCCTCAGTGCAAGAACACGTTCTCAACCTGATGGTCCACTTCAACGTGGTTGAGTCGAACGGGGCCGTCATAGACGAGCAGAGTCAGGTCAGCTTCATTCTGGAATCTCTTCTAAAGAGTTTCCTGCCATTCCGCAGCAATGCAGTTATGAATAAGCTGGAGTACACTCTTACCATGCTCTTAAACGAGCTGCAGACCTACCAGTCTCTTATGAAATGTAAGGGACAAGAAGGGGAGGCAAACGTTGCCACCTCAAAAAGGTTCAACCGAGGTTCGTCCTCTGGAACCAAGTCTGCGCCCTCTTCTTCTGGAAGTAAGACTTTTAAGAAGAAGAAGGCTGCTGGTAAGGGGTCTAGACCTGACTCCTCTGCTGCTGCTACCAAGAAAGGCAAGGCCAAACTTGCAGAGAAAGGAAAGTGTTTCCACTGCAATATGGACGGGCATTGGAAGCGCAACTGCCCAAAGTACTTGGTCGAAAAGAAGAAAGCAAACGAAGGTAAATATGATTTACTTGTTTTGGAAACATGTTTAGTGGAGAACGATGACTCCGCCTGGTAAATATGAGGGCTCGTCCTTTGATCTGTATGGGTGAGAGTGGCCCGAAATGCCGACTCAATATTCCTACCATTTTGAGGATGAGACCGAGTGGGGAGCTTGGAACATAAGTTCACAAGAAGGAATTCACTCTTCTCCGACTTTAGGGGAGTAGATAAGTGTTCCCTTAAATGCTGACTCCGGGACTTGAACAAGGGGTCACACCTTCTCATTAGCCCGACAGAGACTTCCGGTTATTGGTCGAACCATAACCGGGTTGTTCATTAGAGGAGCAGTGGTATTTAAGGAGTAAGATGTAACTCAGGGGTAAAACGGTAATTTGACCCAACTTGAGTTACGAGCACTCGTGAAGGATTGTCTCGTCATTAATGGTCGATATCCATGGACACGAAAAAATTCTGCAGTGAGAAGAGTGCAACTGCGTGTGTTTAGTGGAATGACCCGTAGTTAAGGAATGTTGATTAACTCGGTCAATGAGTTTGACCGATTAATCTCGTATTGTTGGAGCTTCGGATCTGTAGGTCCATTAGATCCCCTTGCTAGCTCACAACGGGTAAAACGAGGATCAAGTTTTTGGAAGAATTTGAACTGTTCAAATTTCTTAAAGGATTATATGTATATTGATACATTATAATATATCGTTAATTCTAAATTAAAACTATATATTATGAGAGAAATTATTTGAATGAGATTCAAATAAAATTAATATGAATAAGATTCATATTAAGACTATAGGTTAAAACTAATGTGCATAAGATATACATTTGAACTATAGGTTATACGAGAGAAATGCAATAGAATATGATTATATTTATGTGATAAATAATTAAGGGTTAATTATTTATTTTATATATATACATATTAATTAATTATTAATTTGATTAATAATTAATTAATTATATATATATATATATTAATTATTATATATATATTAATTATTAATATTAATGTTAATAATAATATTAATATTAACACTCCCCTGCTTAATTGCAGGGGAGTGGGGAGTTATCCCCACGTCATATCAGTTTTTTTGCAGATGTGTTCTGCAATAGAAAAAAGGCCCCAACGAAGAACTCCCTGGAATTCTCTCAATCAAGCTCTCTCCCTCAACTCTCCTTCACATTCCAAACGAAACGCTCCCACAAGCGTGTTCTCGAAACCCAAGAGGATAGCAAGGAAGACTCGGTGGTGCTGTTCGAGTGGAAACTGTTGAAGAAAAGTTGTTCAAAGGTAATTGTTTTCCTCTGTATTTTCATCTTGAATTTTTTGATTTTGTTTCCCAAATATCACGAACAACGGTCCGCTTCCGCTCCTGGATTTACATCCCTTCATATATTTGATAGACAATATATATATATAGAACAAATATTCATATACAGATGGATAATAATGTTCCAGTAATAACCTAAAGGGTCTATAATATATGGGTAAGGTTCGGTACCTTATCTTGGTAACACTATGGATAGGTCCACTTTGTAATAGTTAGAAATGACTTTGTAAAACAATGAGATTGTACAACACCAGACTGCTAAATAATTAATCTTTAGCTGTAATTGTTGGATCGATATGACAACCCTAGAGGGGGATGAATAAGGTTTAATGAAACTTTATAAATTTTTACTATGGTAGACCCAACTTAAACAAATAAGTAAACATGTTATGAATAAATAAGATCAACACAAATTATTCCATAAATTAGACATACATTTCAAGCATTCTAATTAGTTCTAACGTAAATATTCACAATGAACATGAAGAATAAACTATAGCAATAATAAAATAATAATAATAATAATAATAATAATAACAATAATATATTTTTATTTTAAAAATTCAAACTTCCCACTGCCACGTGTCGCCCGACACCTTCTTTCTTTTTTATTTATTTTTTTAATCACCAACGTAACATTCCCTTTTTGTTTTTTCCTTTTAATTTTTTTTTTAAATTTAACTTCTATTCTTTTGTTTTTGAGTTTCATTTCACTTCTTTCTTTTCCCCTCGTTCTTTTTATTTTGTTCTTTACTTTTCACTTGAATTATCTTTTATTTTTAAATTGAAATTT